AGGGGTTGGGGCTGCGATGATAGCGGGAAGGAATCAACTCTATCACTGCATTATAGGTTTTTGAAAAGCCCATAAAACTCTCAAGCCCTCAAACTCAACGCTATTCCTGACATTTTGACTTAAAAAGCAAAATGTCTTCAAACTTGAAAACAAAGTCCAGTGGATTGTTTTTACATTTCTTTTATTGGAAGGACAATGACCTGGATGAATGAGCATCTTCACCAGTATAAGGCACATTTTGATGTCTCAGAACAAATAACTTAACATTGGCGTTTCTACTTTTTCATAAAGATGAGGGGCCTAAACCCCGGCAGAGGCCCCGGATCATCGCCGGACCCCAGAACGTAACGGTTTCCCTTCATCAAACTGTAGTTCTGGAGTGTGTGGCCACAGGCTACCCCCCGCCCATCATCTCCTGGAGCCGAGCCGACAGCAAACCCATCGATGTTTACAATGCCAAAGTGCTGGGCAATGGGAATTTGGTTATTAGCGATGTGAACTCCAAGCACAGCGGCGTTTACCTCTGCCGGGCGACCACGCCCGGAACACGCAACCACACAACAGCAGCAGCCAACCTCACGGTCTTAGGTAGGACTGTCCCTTCCGTTGTATCGGCACATTGCTCTTCCATCCACTGTTTGTGTCTCTTTGTAGTTTTACATATGTCTTGATACAGTGGATGCAGGGGCGGAGCTAGATGGGGGACCCCTACCATTTTTTTCCCTCAAATACCAACATATTCTCATTATCAGTTCGTATGAAATCGCACGAAAAGTTATGCACAGTATTCCGTGGGTTTTTGACGTTTTTCCTCGAAAAAACAGATCAGTGGACGGACGTAAAACTGTGACGGACGAGCTTTCGACAGTGCAATAATTACTTCATGATGTCTCTCGCTAGGTCGCTTGCTGTTTTGTATCTTAGGGTTAGGGTTCATTGTATGTTAAATTGTAAGTTATTGAATGGTGCGTAACATGCGCATGCGCAAGGATATCTTGTCTCGAGGCAAGACGTAAAAATACGACGAAATACGACGAAAAAAACATCAAAAACCCACAAAATACTGTGCATAACTTTTCGCACGATTTCATACGAACTGATAATGAGAATATGCTGCAAATACAGACGGTGGCAACAGTAAAACTTCTAACTTATTTAACATTTAAATTTTTCATATGTTAACAGTTACTTGACAACAAAAACACTTTGGTTAAATATGAACATCAATACGCGAAGATTAAAGATGATAAATACAGAATTTATGCTATTTTCAGAACTAGATTTTGTCTTATGGGGTTAAGAGAAAATTATGTTTCTGTAAAATCTATGAGTCTTCAGTGAAATCAGAAATAAATTACTGCTTTAATAACTAATCCATTTAATTTAGATATTAGTAAATAATAATTTA